TCGATTGTATTTTTATGAGAAGCTGTGTTTCATGGCAGAAATACACTCGGACGATTGCCATTGCCTGCCGAGGGGCGACCGCTGTTAATAAAAACCCTTTTTACTACATTTTTTGCGCCAAGCCATATTTTGTTTACTTTAAATAGATTTTTGTTTGAAGTTTTTCGTTCGAATACGCATTCGTTTTGCACTTCACAGATGAAATGAGAAACAATAGGTCTATCATTATCTAAGTATTATCATTTTAATATGTTTCGTCAGACGGTAATTATACCCTCCTGTAACTTAGAACGCACTGCTGCACACCCAGGTACGTGTTTTCAAATGTTCAGTTCGAATTACGGAAAATCCCATGAAAACGAAGAGTGGTAACTTTTATCTAAATGCTACTAAAAGAAAAATATCAACAGATGCAGACATCTGTGTATCTACTAAGAATATTCACCAAAAGTAAGAAACATTAGATACAAATTGCTCGAAAATTCTTAACCACCACATAACTTTCAGTACGATCGGGGCTACATAAGCTAAATTGGGAGGAGCTGTTAGTGGTCACACTTGATGGGACGAAGTGGAACTGCTCGCAGGAAATTGATTCAGGTCTCGAAGCTTTCCTCAAGGGTTTTCGAATAACACATTCTCACAACTAAGCCACACTGCTGCAAAATCAAATAGAATATCTAAACCCAAATAATGCCAACCCAAAAAGCCGGCCAAAAGTCGGAGTTATCAACTTTGATATACATAAGTTTATTTATGTAAATATATTATTTGCTCAGGCCAAAGCCTCTGCTGCTGGCGCTGTGTTTTATGGTTTATATAATAATTGTTATTGTTATGCAAGTATTTTATAAAAAAAAAAATAAAATATTATTTATTAAGCTAGATAGCGATAAAAGTTTCCACAGCCACTTAATCGCTGACATGAATATGTATGTCAATGAGATCACACCATTATAGTGAACAAATTCTGTCTTTGCGCTTTAGTTGCATTTGTTTCTTTTATTTGTTTAAAACTTGAAATATGTACTAAATACTTATATGAGTGTGCATAATTTAAAATCACGTTTTCATGACTTGCTTTTTGATATTACAATTCTTTGAATCGTTTTAAAATAGCCCAATTGCAATAATTATTTTAATTCCAAATTTTAAACAATTGTCGAGGAAATTTTTTCATCGGTATGTACTCCAGATCAGTACCAACCACACTAATATTAATTTTGCCGTGTTTTAATTTGCGAAACCCTTAAATTTCACGCCGACTCCGAACAGCAAATTTTTTATGAGAAGTTCTTCATGGCAGAATTGCGTTCGTAGATTTATTAATTCATGCGGAGGACTCTCACTGTTAGAAGCAACATCTTTAAATTTTGCTGGGAGCAGGCAACGAATCTGAGTGCTACCAAGGTTGCAGGAAATGGCCACGCTCAGATTGTTTTTCTGCCTGGAAAAAGCTTCTCATAAAATCTATTAACCATTTGGAGACGGCGTAAGTCCCTCTGTGTGTGCAACAACATCAAGACGCTTACTACAAATTCAAGGAGAAGCTTGGCCAAACACTTAGCAAAAGTGTAAGCAGCAAATATTCATTTTGTTTATTTAACTCCCAACACATGCAATAAAAAAAATCAGTTACCATGTGCCGGCGCGTATTCTATACTACTGAACCTTGTTATAGTATGAGCTTATAACTTTTCACTTATATAAAAACCGCGTATTATTATTGAAGGTTATAATTGTCACATACATGTAAATTAATTCAAATTAAATTTTTAAATCAAATATAGGAGGTAAGCAGGGGAGTTGACAAGACATAAACGGCCGTGATAAGTAGATAAAAGCTTTTAAAAAAATATATCCATATGTACATATATATGTAAGCATACATAAATGTACATATGCATGTAAGTTCGTATGTATTTATATATGTATGTATGTATATCAACAGATTCCCAAGCATAGATATGTGCATAAGCAGTGAGCTTTGTATTTGTTTTTGGGAAAAATTGGAAAAAGCAACAGAGTCAGAAGTTATAGTTTTGATTTCGGAGATTGCTATATCTCCTCGAAAGACTTATTTCTACACTTTAGCGGGAATCCAATCCACACTGAGGTAATGAATTATCCTCTATATGTTCAAGCTTCTTACATACATATCGCACACCTAGATCTAAAGTGAGCTAACTCAAAATTCATAGAGGGAAATTCAGCTGCTTGTGGTGCGTACAGATTAAACGCAATTAATACAAAAACAGATCTAACAGTAGTTTTTTAGTCAATGTACTATATAATCATGAAGAAAAAAATATTTCCAATAATTGTATGTAAGTGCTATGAGTTGATTTATGCAAAAAACTCGCCCAAAATTAGTTTTGAGTGGATCGCACTGTAGATCTAGGTGTGCGATATGTACATACTCATAAGCCGTCAATTAAGTACGAACACGTTGTCATTTGGGACAAAAAATTGTATTTTCGATTGATAAAAATTATTTTGGCATTAACATTTCTTTAAGAACTAAAATTAACGGCCCCGGCAAAAAAAACAAACCTGATGAGTGTTGTCATCAAAATACATATGCCATATTGTTAACTTAATATAGAAATATCCTTACTAATTTTCTTTCAAATTCGAGCTTTGTCCAAAAAGGTCTATAGATTAAGTTTTCAATAAAAACCCAATAAAAATTAAAAGCAGGTACTAAAATTAAATCAGTTATGGTATTTATTTAAAAACAGAGTTTTGAAGAAATTCCCAGCTGAAAAAGTTCAGTTTTCATTCCGTATTTTAATTACTCTTCAAAGGGATGGAGATGTTATATAAGCCCCTTCTACATATATTAAAGTTGCGATATAAAATTTGTCTGAACTCTGAGGTTAATGGAATAGCTTCGCAGAAGTAGCAAAAATGTGAATCGTAATGCCCTAGCAATCGTGTAAGTGTCAAATATTTATTTATTTTCTTTGTCATTCTGAATTATTTTTAAGCGAAGGGACAGACGAAAAACGAAGAAATTTGCATAGGGATTCCTTATTGTTGCCATGTTAATTTCATATTCAATTAAAACCATATTTTATTTTATTAGGTATGTAGTTTAAGTGCAAGACAAAATAAGGGGGAAATCTGTTCTTTGCACGCTAAATTAATTACTTAAATACATAGTAAATAAATAACAAAACTAACTATTTGATTTTGCTACATTATGGCCATGCGGGGTCCAGAGGATCCTAGACGAAAATACGTCCGTACTAATCGATCTGTGTACACCGACTGATGTCCCACTGGTTTTCCAAATGGCCTGAAATTATTTAATTAAACTCTAGTAATAACCGGTGAAGTCACCAAATCGAATTTAAATGGTTTCTATATAAAATATATAGCCGAAAAGTTGGGCTGGGGTCCACTCGACCCCCTTTGACCATTGCGGGTTGAGAAAATATTCTCGGAAATCACAAAGTTTCAGAGGAGTCAAGTATTATACGAAGCTTCAGTTTTACTACGAAGATTAACTGCTTGAAAAAGGAGTTGTGTTTGTTTACAAAGTAATCCAGTAACTTGCCAGCAACTCTCCAGTAACTTTATTTCTAATAATTCGCAAGTTTCATGAACAGCTGGTTGTTTATTCGCAGCAAATTCCTAATAAAACAATATACATATTTTATATTTAAATAGGTTTATTTTGAGAAATTCCACAATAAAAAACCACAAACAGTTTCCTTATTAGTTTAAATTTCATCCAGCAACATGCGATCACTGGCAAATTCTTACAAGTAAAAATGTATCCAGTACAATCCAGTAAAAACATGCAACTTCAACTGTCATTTTTCGCTCTCTCAATTTTCCCTACTTTGCAAGTTTTTGCGTACGAAAATGGCAAAACATGAAAATTCGTAAAAACTTTTGCTGGATTTTACTGGAAATGAGTAAACAAACGCCACTAGGGTTGAGTATTGACCCCTCAATATTTCGTTATTTTAAAATAAAATATTCGACTGAACTCACTTTTTCATATTTTATACGTCCCGTATTTCTTTTTTGCAGTTAAAGTTTCAAAATTGTTCAATAATACTCTTTATCTGTAACAAATAAGATTAGTTATCCAGAAGCACGTTGACACAATTAAAAATATATATATATAACTCTTGAGTTGAATACGCGGAAGCTAACGGCAGTTAACGTCCAAACCAACATAACGGCATTTTTCCACTTTACGAAGAGAGTAATGATAATAGGTACATACCTATGAACACATATACTTATGGTATGACTGCGAATATAATTAAGCAGGACATTTGATTTTGCTATGAATGGCGGAATTGCTATAGCTATGAAGATCTACATACATATCGATTTACACACAGCACACTGAGCTAAACAAAGATGACGCTTACTCATAGAATACATCCAATCAGCATGTATTATATACATACATATGTACGTATTTATATACATAATTTGTCTATTACTGACAATACATAATCATATTCATTTCTTGAATTTGCTGCTGCAACATTTTTTCTGGGCGACTTATTTCGTCCTAATTAAAATGTTAAAATGTGCTAAAAGTATTGAATAATAAAACCAAATAAACACATAAAGTTGCAACACGAGTTTTGATCGCATAGAGTTCGGTGTTTGATATGTCGGGATTGAAGTTACTAACCACAGTTAAGAGCAAACACACCACTCAAACGAAACGAAATGAAAATGAATCGAGCGGTGGAAACGATTCAAACACTAAGTCACCACGATCGTATACTAACTAGCAGAGATAAGAAGCGCTTCGCTCATTGTCAGCCCCAACGAACTTGATTACTCAGTAGGAATTCGAACTTCTACTTAACTGCTTTGCTCCGATTGGGGTACAGATTACGATAATACATAACAATTAATAACCTTCGATTCGGTTGGCCCTTAACTTAAAATATTTTATTTCAACTTTAAAACCAAAGAAGATCAAAATAAAATACAGTAGTTAAAAAAATTGAAATAAGGTAAAAAAAAATAGTTACTGAAAGAGTTTATTCAATATAAAAATAAACGAAAAAATAAAAAACTGCCTTCATTACAATGCAACACAAGTGCCAGTAATACCGTCGAACAAGGTGGAATTAAGTAAATCAAGAAATCATCCATTCTTAATGTAATTAAAAGGCGAGAATTGGGTTAATCACTTATTGAATGTTAATGTAACTCCAACGGAAAGTTATGAAAAATCGTATCCTGTCGTGCCTTGAATACATCGGAGTCAAGCTGAATAAATCTATATACATACATACATATGTATATATATCAGTGAGAGTGTCCATCATTATTCTAATGCAAAGTTATTGAACCTTAAAAGATACAACAAAAAAATCAGCCTTTAAAACTGGCCAAAAAGCTACAAAACGTAATTGCTTTAAACAATAAATTAAAATATAATAAATAAAAATTCGACCACATAACCGGTACTTAATTGCTTACACAATTACACATTCAAATCGGATCTCATTATACGACAGTATTGAACAACTTGCATCAAGATATTATAAGTATACATTGAAATTGTGCACTTGTTTGCATATTGAAACAAGTGTAGCAAATTAATATTGAAAATTCACTTAAGAGTAAACAACTACTATTTGCAACTCTCACAAATATTTCTTAACATTCGCACACTGCATCACACTGCATCAAAGGTATAGAGCAATACGTAACAGCGAGCAAATTAATTGCTAAGGAATTGTGTTGTGTGTGAATCAACAGAAAGCAATTAACAAAAGCAGGCTGGCGTTTAACAAACTGTCATAAGTACGTACTCGTACATATAAGTACATACCTTAAATATAAAATTTCTTTACGTCGGTTAATAATACAAGTCCGTCAAACTGTCGAAAAAACGCAGCAGAACAACCCCACCCCCCAAAAAAATTCACAAAACTGCTAAAATGCCGGTCTTCAATGTCATAACGCGCAGAAAAACAAAGGTGAGTTAAAAAAAAATGTGAACGAAATCTGCATTTGAGTAAAGAAGTCGGGTACAGTACATGTATCTGTTTACGTACATATTTATGTACATATTTTTTACTTAAATATATGCATGTATGTATGTGTATGAATATACAAATAATGTGAATATTTTTATGCATGATTGTACTCCGAATAACTGTTTATCATGCTGATTGATTGTAGGGTCTGTAGAAGTTTAATTTTGCGACACTTATTCGCAAAACTGGTTTTTACTGTAAATACACTTTCTTAAAAAAGAGGCACACAAAAATTGTTGATACTCAAATAACGATGTTCATTTACGTACTCAAAATAAATTTTGAATACTACTTATGGTTTTAAGTTTGTAAATGCCTAGAATGCTTTCATATACGCTCGTACATACATATGTATGCATGTGTGTGTGTGTATGTACATATATATTGATTTATTGGCGCTTCATTTGTATAAGTTGAAGCGCGAAAGTTATTCAAGCCGCCTATTCATTTATATTGGTTTAAACCTTGCAATGGATTTTCATACATCCATAAATACATATGTATGTTCTCATTTACAAATGCAAGCATCGGTATGTACATATGTAAGTATGTACATATATACATAAATAGTTACATAAATTTGTACGAATGCTGTATTTATGTAGTATTATGTTAGGAGTTAATAATTTTTTTTTTCTAGATATTTCGTAGCAATACAAACGTACTCTTGCCTAGCATATTCGGCAATAGTAGATACCGAAATTAAAGTACAGTAGAACAAAATTTCGACTTTTTAATTTACCCACATGTGTGGACAAGTTCATGTAAATGTACACTGAGAAAAAAAGCAAACCATATCGTGTTTGTTTCCAACAAAAACACATATGTACATATAATAGTTTGCTCATATATTCAAAGTATATTTAGTAATCTGGCGTCAATCGCTATTCTATATATTTTAAACCTATTTTTGTTTAGAAAAATTCAAGTTTGATACTCTTTCATTCTGAACTTCATAAATGATTATTCATAATTAAGAAAAAAAATTAAATAAGATATACATATGTATGTATGTACGCACTCACGTACAGCCAGAACATGTATGTAAGTATGTTTTCAAGTGTTCAGTTCAGTCGAATTTCTTATCAATCGTTCAAACTAATTTCAGTTCAAATGTGTTTAAAAAATAATTTTGCTATTCAAAAATTTGAAACCGCTAACAGGGAAAAATCGAAAAGTCCCTGTTTGAAGAACTATGTTACTTTTTTCTTAGCGTTACTCAATAAAAGTTTGATTAATTCATACAGTTTGTATACAAAAAGATAGATGGAAAGATACATATCTTCGCCATTTTGGGAAGTTCAGTCGTATCCCAGTGGGAAAATGTAATGTATAGTACACGGTCAAAAATTTGGGTTTAATTTTTAAACCGAGCTATGACTGCTGCCTGTTTTAATCTTTTCTAGTCTACTTTTTAGACCAGTCAATAGTTTTTAGCAATTGTTAATATATTATGGTTTAAATTTTAGTCCAAGCAGCTGAGAAAATGATGTTCTGCTATGAGTGGTTTAAAATTAAAAGAAAAAAGTTCGTAGTTTCAAATACAGGCCCTATTTGTTTAAAAATCAAACCAAAATGTTTTAATTCTAGTTTATAGGTTTCATATATAGAAAATTTTGTTTAAAATCTAAACCGAAATAGAAAATGTTTGCCTCAATATGCCAACAGGCATAAGGGTGTCTCAGAGAGAGAGAGAGAGAGCAAATCTTATGAACTGACGGCATCAACACAGCGAAATGTGGTGTTGATTCAAACTCAATATTTGAAAGCACATTTACATGCATAGCTGTAGTTGAGTCTGCAAAGATGCTTGATACAATTGGTTGTATGCTACCAAGGCTGTCCGGGTTCAATCCCCATTAGACGGAACAAGAAATTTAAGATTTTTTTTTTTTATTCTTAATTATGAAAAAGCTTTCGTGAAGTGTAACGTGAAGCAAACGATAGAGAAAATGTTTGGGTTTAAAATTTAAACCAAACTGTTAAATTCTAAACCCAACATATGTGCTCTCTTTTTTTTTAAACTTGGAAGGTTTGTATTTGAAACTAAATTTAGTTTGGTCATATATGTAGTCCAAATTGTTTAAAATTAAAACCGCAATTTTTAACCGTGTAATCGAAAAAAATTAATCAGTAAAACAACAATTTTCACATTCGAAAATGCATTTCCACCCCCCCTCCCCCCAGGGCGATGTCCTAAAAAAAGTGGGGCATTCAGTTTTGCATTCCCTAGTATCGAGAAATGAGTGTGATTTAATATGAAATTTTTCGGACTTTTTGAATAAATTAGAATGCTGATTACATATTAAATATTAATTGGATGTAAAACTCTTAAGAAATACATTTGATTATTTATCACGCATGGAATGCATTACTACTTTTCCCACTGGGATGTTAGGCTGAACATATTCTTCTTATCGAGCTTATTAATTGAATTTATCACGCATGGAACGCATTACTACTTTTCCCACTGGGATGTTAGGCTGAACATATTCTTCTTATCGAGCTTATTAATTGAATGATCAAAAATCTAAAAAATGTAAATTTTAAATTAATTCCCTTTATTATTAAACGCGCGATATATTTCTATGTACATATGTACATACATACTATATTTACCCATACATATGTGAGTACGCTTTATGATAAACGAAATGTGGTGTCGATTGAACCGAAAATTGGCCACAATTAGATGGCATGTCGTTGTTAAAACTCTCCAGCCAATTATGTTTTTCAAAATGTGTATGTGAGTAATTAAATGGGCTAAGGTCTGCCTATATCTATTCTATCATATCTAAGCCAATTAGAGTGAAAGCATTTATCTGGAGAGAAGTTTTGACATAGTTTTGTATTTGTGTTAAAAATTGTACAGTCTAATTGAATATCAAATAAAAGGGCATGTTATCTGACTGCGTTGCGATACAAAAGGCCGTATTCATCAGGTGGTAGCACACGCACTGCAATAAATTTACTTACGTAATTACTCAAACTTTTCATTTTGCTTTTGAATAAATTCAACTAATTATTCTCTGAAGTAAAATCAAGTAAAATACACTTTCACAATGTAATAAAACTCTTATCTGTAATTCCTTTCTTGAAGAACCAACTGCAACTTGAATGGGTTGCTGTTATTTAATGTAATCACAACTTGGCATATTTATCTGTCGCTTTGATAAGATTATGAAAAGCAATACGCTGGAAATGGCATAAGATAAAACTGAGCACATGGAAGCAAGAATACAAATTTTATGTAGATATGTGCATATATAAAATGTATACATTTGTTCCTTAAAATTATTTAAACTAAAATTTCTATGTGGCATTAAAAAACGAGCTGGCGTTAGGAAATTCTAGTATACGCTAATCTAAGTGCATACAAGTACTTTCATGCATACACATACATACATATGTATGTATGCATGATTTATGCATGTAACATATCTTGACACGCTTTAAAAACAAATAGGAAACAGTTGCGACGTCAACGTTGAAACCCATTTTAAGGCCGCTAAGGAACTTTTTATTGTTTGAGATATTTAATTATAAATTGACTGATAATTACCGAATACCATCTGATAATTGACTAACAATGAAATTTTAACAAAAAAAAAAAGTTGCTTAAAAGGAAGGCTTTCTGATCGATGGCTCTTTTAAGTATTTTTAAACATTGCTAAATGATAAACGCGTAACACTGATAACAGAATAAACTGAAATGATAAGCCTAAAACTGCTATAGCGAACTGTTGTTGCTATTTTTTCGGATAGGAAATTTAAAAACTAGATTTTTAAATAAATATTTGGAAGGGTTAAAACTGTGCAGATAAGGCCTTTAACGTTGATAAAGAAAATTAAGCGAGGCACTATATTATAAAATGTTACTTTTATTTGTCCTTAGAATTAATAAAAGGGTCCTACTAAAATACTGCTGTGACCACCTTATCGTCCTAATTCGACTGAGACTCGAATTACTAGTTTGCCCATCGGACAGCCATTAAAAAAAAAAAAAATGCTGGTCGTTTGAATTTAATATTTTCTTTATTTAGAAAATTTAAGTAGAAAGTAAAATCAAGGCGGTCACCGAAACCTAGTACATAGTCACAGACCCGGAAGGACTCAGTGCAATGCCTCTCGAATGCAACGACCAAAGGATAGAAAGTTTTTTAATGCAGTATTTTTTGAATAACTACATCGTCCAAACAGCATTTTTGCAACGGTATATTTCAGAAAGAGGATATCATGTTGGCTATTTTCTCTGAACAAAGCATGTCTGAGTTTTTTTTTACTCCAATGTTAAGAGTTCATTATGTTGAAGAGAGGGTAATTGTTTTTTTCTAACTTAAATACTTTGTAGCTGCACTTCACCACGCCGCCATGCCATTTTCCCTTTTTTTTGGCGATAAGCCTAAATGGAAAAGAAATCGGGCTGTATTTGCTTACATATTTTGCACGATTCCCCATCATACCATATGTCGAAAGAGACCAAACATCGATGTACTTAGGTTTATTAATTTAAGTAAGATTGTCTTTAAAATAAGTAATAAAATAACTTTTAAGCAAAAAACAAAACCGACTTCAACTTTAATATTAAAAATTTAATAGTACCGTTAATTTCTTCATGATTAAATTATCGGATCTAAACCAAATTAGTTGAGACACCACCTCTCCGATAGAAAAAGAATTATTTAAATCGGTTGGCAAGGTCCAAAGTTATGCTTACTTCACATAAAAAAAAAATGTTGCGACAAATTGATAACCTTCTCCTTTTTTTGAAGTCGGCTAAAAAAAATTGGTTTCAAAAGTTCAACTAAATATTTGTAGGCCCTCCCCACCTCTCGAAAAAACGCTTTGTTTCAAAAGTTCAACTGAACATTTGTATGTTCATCATGCGCCTCCCTCCCCTCGAAATATTTCAGAAATACCTACCCTTATTATTCAAACAT